TCATACCAGTAGTATGGTGTAGAGTCCTTCTGAGCCTTGTAGTGACATGGCAGGATGGGACCTGTAGTGGTGCTAGAGCCTTCTGACTTAATTCTGAACAACTGACTGGAAGAAATCCATATTTGTTCCCATTTTTTTTTAAAAAAGGTAATCTAACAAAACATGGAAATTACTGAACAATACCATTAATATCACATACAAGCAAAACATTGCTGAAGATATCTGCAAATGGCTAGATCTCGTACATTAACAGAGAACTTCCAGAAATTTAAACTATTTAGAAGAGGCAGTGGCAGCAGGAATATCATTGCTGATGTCGGATAGATTCTGAGTGAAAGCAAAGAATACCATATTGACTATGCAAAAGCATTTGACTTTGTGGAACTGTAACTATGGCTAACATTGAGGAGAGTTAAAATTCCAGAACACTTAATGGTGCATGTACAAAACCTATACGTAGAATAAGAAGCTGTTGTCCAAACAGAGCAAGAGAACACTACATGGTTTAAAATTTAAGAAAGGTGTGCATCAGGGTTTGTAGTGTCTCTCCATTCCTTTTTAATCTGTACACTGAGCATATTATTTGAAAAGCTGGACTCTGAAAAATGTGGCATCAAGATTAGACCAAGAACTTACATTATGCAGATGACACAACTTGCTCACTGAAACTAATGATGATGACTCAAATCAATTTTTGGAGAAGATCAGAGACACTGGATTACATCTCAGCATCAAGAAAAGAAAAAGTCTCACTGTTGATTATTATGATGTTGAACCTATAGGCAACATCATGATTGATAGACTATCAAAACTGTCAACAGATTTATCTTACAGAAATCTACAATCAACACAGTTGGGACTAGCAGCCAGGAGACTTACTGCATTGGGAAGGTCTACAGTCAGACACACTCTAAAGCATTGAGGAATGTCAGTTTGAGGTGCACCTAATTCAGGCCATGGTCTTTTTCAATCACCTGCTATGGTATGTACCTGAGAGCTGGTTATTGAATAACAAAAGAAGGCTTGATACCACTAAGCTGTGGTGTTGGAGAACAATATTGAATATCCCATGCTGCCAAAAAAGTAAACAGGTATGTCTTGGAGAAAGTGCATACAGAGTGCTCTGTGGATGCAAAGATGACAGTTTTGTCTCACTTACTTTGGGCATGTTACGAGGAGAGACTGTTCCTTGGAGAAGTACATCATGCTTGAAAATGTGGAGGGACGGTGAAGGAGAAGGTAACCCTCAACCAAGTGAATTGACACAGTTATACAATGGATTTGGGTGTGTCAGAGATAGTTATGATAGCTCAGGATAGGACAGGGTTCAGATCTGTTCATAGGCTATCTATGAGTCATTCAACTTGAAGGCACCCCACAACAAAGCTGATCTGTGAACATTTTGTGACTAAAAATTGAGTGTAGTCTTGTTTAACTCAGGCATGCATACTAAGATGAAAGCGCAAACTACTAAGATGAAAGCGTGTCATAAAAGTTTCATTTCATTCCATAAGCAATTTCTGCATGGATAATTCAGTGTTACTGTATATATAGTTGTTTCAAAGTTAGGTTTATAGTTTTAGTTCTTGATTTTTACATTCATAAAAACATTGTGTATTATTGCCATGGTTTTTGCTATTACTTGTTATACATCAGAGAGTTGGACAGTGACTAAGGAGGATAGAAAGCCTTTGAGCTGTGGTGCTGGAAAAGAGTATTGTATTAATGGTACCACAAACAGATTCGTCCTGGAAAGGGTTAAACCGCACGGCTCCTTGGAGGCAAGGATTCTAAGGCTCTGTCTAACATACTTTGTTACATGTTTTAAGGAGAAGACTGGTCCTTGGAGAGGGACAGCTCAGGAGGGGAAGAGTGGATTGTTTCAGTGACTGGGACAATTGGGATGGGAGTGTCAGAGACAGTGCGATTGGCACAGGACAGAGCGGAGTTTAGGGCTGTTGTACATAGCGTCACTATGAATCACAAGCAACTCGATGGCACATAACAACAACATAGAGAGGGGTTTAGTGGTTATTTGGGGTGAGAGGAATATTCTCTAGAAGTACTGAGTTTATATCTGTGATACGAGAAAATTGGCACTGATGAAGGGTACGGATCTTAACAATATAACTAATATACCATATCTCTGTATTGTACACCAGAACAGGCATAATGACAGATGTGTTTTATATAATTTTACAATAATAATGCCCTTCCCTCTTGGGGAAAAAAAGTAGTATAGTTCCTAGTATTACTTTGGTGCAGTCAAGTACCTCATGGGATTAATTCTCTTGGTTGAGTGCTTGATACTGCAACTTCCCATCCAGTATACCCATTTTATGAATTTCTGATGTCCCTTTCTTTGGTGAGTAGAGCCTAGAATCTTCATATATATATATATTT